GTCGCTTAAGAAAGCTTCTTCAAAGAGCACATTTAATATCAGTTTTCGGAGAAAGCAGCACTTTAGTATTCGAAAAAACCAAAATCGGAGTACACCATCCCTCAGGTTTCTCCGAAATTCGGAGTAAATCGTTCTTATCTTTTCCCAAATTTGGGAGTAAATCGTTCATATTTTTTAAAAAAGTATGGGGGGCAACCCCCCCATCCCCCCGGTCGAACCGCCACTGACTAAACAAAACAATACTAGAGCCCAATTGTGCTGCGCACAAGTTGCGATGTCGACAAACCTTCGTCTTGTTACCAAGTTCTTGTTTTTACCTCGAGAAATCGGTATTTCTGCACAACATCTTCGTCTTTCCTCCTGAAGAAATCGGTGTTTCCGCACAAGAACTACTTGTTTCTTTTGAACAAATCAGTGTTTCTGCACAACAACTTCGCCTTTCTTTTGAATAAATCCGTGTTTATTCATAACAACTTCATGTTTCTTCCTGAACAAATCCGTGTTTCTGCATAACAACTTCATATTTTCTCCTGAAGAAACCGGTGTTTTTGCACAAGAACTTCTTGTTTCTTTTGACGAAATCCGTGTTTATTCATAACAACTTAACGTTTTTTCCTGAAGAAATCGGTGTTTCTGGATAACAACCTCATCTGTTTTCCTAAAGAAATCAGTGTCTCTGCATAATAACTTGATGTATTTTCCGCAAGAAATCGGTGTATGTTTTTTCTTGAACAAATCCGTGTTTCTGCATAACAACTTCGTGTTTCTTCTGAAGAAATCGGTGTCTCCGCACGTTCGTCAAAAACTTGGTGTTTCTTTGCTAGCACTTCATCTTCTTTCGTTAAGAACTTGGTGTTTCTTCACGAGAACGTCATCTTTTCTCGTCCAGAACTTGGTGTTTAGGCAAGTGAACTTCATCTTTCTTCCTTAAGTAACTTCCATCTTGTTACTTCTTTGTGTTACCTCCAGAACTTCTTTCTTGTTCGTGTTCTTGTTTCGTTAAGAACTTTGTGTTTTTTCAAGGGAACCTCATCTTCTTTCCTTAAGAACCTGGTGTTTCTTCGCGAGAACGTCATCTTTTGTCCTGAAGCACATGGTGTTTCTGCGAGTGAACTTCATCTGTTCTCATCAGGAACGTGGTGGTTGTTTACGACAGCTTCATCCCTTTTCCTCAAGAACCTGGCGTTTATCCAAGAGAACTTCATCCTTTTCCCACTAGAACCTGGTGTTACGTCATCCTTTCTCCTCAAAAACTGGGTGTTTCTTCAGCGAACGTTTTTTTCCTCAAGAACCTTGTGTGTCCTCAAGAGAACCTCATCGTCTTTCGTTAAGAATGTGGTGTTTTTTCAAGAGAACTTCCTGCTTTCTTTTTTAGAACCTGGTGTTTCTTTGCGAGAACGTCATCTTTTCCACTCCAGAACTTGGTGTTCTTCTTCCAATAAGAACTTCATGTTTTTTCCTTCAGAACCTGATGATTCTGCGCGAGAAGTTCATCTTGTTTCGTTCAGAACGAGAACACAATCGTTTCTGCTGAAGAACATGGTGTTTCTTCGCGAGAACTTCATCCTTTTTCCTCAAGAACGGAGTTTCGGCAAGTGAACTTCATCTTTTTTCCTTAAGAACTTGATGTTTGTTCGTGAGAACGTTATCTACTTTGGTTAAGAACCTTGTTTGTTCCCTAGAACGCCGTCCTTTCACCTCAAGAACTGGGTGTTTCTTCTAGCGAACTTCATTTTTTCTCCTTAAGAACCTTGTGTTTCGTCAAGAGAACCTGATCGTCTTTCCCTTAGAACGTTGTGTTTTCTCAAAAGAACTTCATGCTTTCGTTTTTAGAACCTGGTGTTTCTTCGCGAGAACTTCATCTTCTTTCTTTAAGAATTTGGTGTTTCTTCGGGAGAACGTCATCTTTTATCCTGAAGAACATGGTGTTTCTACAAATGAACTCAGGAAGTTCGTCTCTCTTTAGTTAAGAGCACGAGTGGTGAGAGTTTTATTCACTTTCAGTGCCTTTTCCGGTGCTTCACCTCCTCGAATAGATATTTGATTAGCTTGAAGATGAAGGGTGGTGAGAGTTTTATTCACTTTCAATGTCTCTGACAGTGCTGCACTTTCTCGAGCAGAAACTTTTCCCACGGAGATTAAGAGTTGTGAGAGTTTTATTGACTTTCAATGCATCTGGCAGTGTTTCACCTCCTTCATCAGATATTTGGTTACCATGAAGATTAGGAGTATTGAGATATTTATTCACTTTTAGTTCCTCTGCTAGTGCTTCATCTGCTTAAAGTGAATAAATCTCTCACCGCTCTGGATCTTGACTACAACACAATATCTGATCGAGGAGCTGAAGCACTGGCAGAGGAATTGAAAGTGAATATAACTCTCGCCACTCTTGGTCTTGAGAACAGCACAATATCTGACCGAGGAGGTGAAGCACTGGCAGGGGCATTGAAGGTGTAGAAGAAGGCAATATGGCCAAAAAATTATGTAAAAGTAAGATATGCAGACAAGCTTACATCTCTGTATTTCTTGAAGTAAAGCTTTAACCGTATGACAAAGTACAAAACTGGTTACACAAATTAGATATTCCTAGAATTTCTTTAAATAAACCGCATTGATATGACTCTTGCATATATTAGCTCTGAATATGAACTGCTTCATACTCTTTCATAAGTCTCATTAACCAACTATAGATTTGAGTTCTATCAAAATAAGATTTAGTTTTATATGTTCGGTTAGTGTATACATTTTGTTTTTAGATGCGTGACATAGTGACAGTACCATATGAATTAATTCGAAATACATCAGACGATCAAAAATCACTTGAAATAGCAGAAGAGGCCACCGTATGCTTCAGTATACTAAATCACACGGAAACTACCTGCACGCCTCTTAAATCGCAAAATCCATGTTTTATTTGGTTTCAGCTGCTTATCGAAGTGTTAATTCGCATGAAATCCTCAGCAACAAACAAAAGTGATCTTGTCAATATGTGCAAAAACCAGAGTTGTGAGCTTCGTAAACTTGATGAATTCAATCAAACTTACAGTCCTTCTCGTGCTCTCTAGTGGTACACAAAAGAGTGTTGTCTTTATCGAGATGTTATCCATGTATAAGGAACTCTTTTTATTGAAGACATTGGTTTATGATTGATGGTCCAAACAGCGACAGTGGCGAATAGTCGAAATAGACTATTATGGTCAAATCACTTAATTAGTAAACGAACCAAGTTGTCTCAATAAAGCATTACGGATTAACGATATCGATATGCCATACGTCTTCCGTTTTCTAATCACAGACATATATAAGCAGCTAAAGAAACTGAGTTTTAAGGGTCAATCAGTTATTCGGGTTTATCGATACCAGTTGATGTCGTTCGAAGAGATATCTCGAATGCAAAGTAGCATTGGGGACTTTGTGTCTATAGACAGTTTTTTATCAACCAGCCGTAATCGAAGACGAACACTTTCGTATCTTTCATCCTGTAGTGCTACTAGCATCCTGCAACCAGTTTTATTTGAAATTGATGCTGATTCTAGACTGTCTGGTGCTAAACCATTTGCTGATATCAGCTCACAAAGTGAATTTCAACAAGAAAACGAGATATTGTTCATGTTAGGCTCCATATTTCGTATTCAAAGCGTACAGTACGATCAAACGAATTACGTTTGAATTATTCGTTTACAGCTGAGCAGTGAAAATAATCATGATCTGAAAGAAATGTTTAATGATATGAAAGAAGATTTGGACGAAGAAACTGATATTTTATCTCTGGGTGATTTGTTAGCACAAATGGTAGAATTTAGTAAAGCCAAAAAGTATTTTGATAAAGTGTTAACTGAATTGCCCCAGGTTGATCTGAATCTAGCAACATGTTATGGTTGGCTTGGTACAACCGCGTATTATCACGGTGATAATGCTTGTGCAGTGATAAATCAGCAAAAAGCTCTTAGTATATTACTACCACAACATCCTCATCGAGCAGTTGAACACAATAACATCGGTAATATATATTTGAACGACGATAATTTAGATGGTGCTCTTGAACACTACAGACTAGCGTTAGGCATTCGTCTTCGATTTTATGGCTCAGAGCATATTAACACGGCAACTGTATACAATAATATAGGTGCACTGTAAATGAAAAAGAAAAGATATAACTTAGCTCTGACAAATTTGAATAAAGCACATTATGGCATTATATAAATGCATTGAACGTCCAACAAAAGTTACTGTCAGTTTATCATTCTCTTATTGCACATATGTGAATATAGGCAATGCACACGCTGGAAGAAATGAATATAAATTAGAGGAAGAAAGCTACCATAAAGCATTAAGTATTCAGTTGAAATGTTTACCGGAGGGTCACAGGGAACTTGCCATATCATATTACAATATAGGCATGAAGGAAGAAGCTCGCAACAACTACGAACAGGCGTTGTCTAGTTACCAAAAAGCGTTTACAATTTGGCAAACGTCCTCATTAACCTGTCATCCATTTTTCTCGAAAATTGGACGTGCCATCAGAAGAACAAAGGTAAAAATCGACGCCCGTGAATCACTAACATACATGTAACAAAGCTCTCATAGCATTATCGAACTTATTATCTTATACATTATATGTATTCTTTTCCACCTGGCTCATATCCAGGGTGGCCAGATGAAAAAATTCAAAATCAGAAAAAAAAATTGGAAAATCAGAAAATTTCCCTATCAAAATCAGAAAGTGGATTTAATGCGGCAACTAGACAAACATGTTTCATTCAACATATAATTTATCAGTCCTTTTATTGAACTGTATTATCGTTTTATGTAGATAGATATCATGTGGATAATATCGTATCAATAGTAATAATTCGGGCATTCATATGAGAACGAACTAGCACGTTTGAAACAGAAGAAATGAAAATCAGGAAAATCAGAAAAAATCAGAAACCAGAAAGCCATCAGAAAAAGTGTTCAAAATCACAAAATTTCTGAAAAATCAGAAGATCTGGCCAGCCTGCTCATATCTCTAATTACCTATCTCCCTGGTACTTGTTCCATATTCTGTTAATATCCTTGCCTCCAACCACTATTTATGTTTGTTAAGACAAGTTTTCCTTCATTCGACAAGGTTATTCTATATATATTTTTTACCAGCATGAATTTGTTTTTTTGATGACTGTACTGGTTTTGATTCTTGTTCTCTTTTTTCGGTTTTAATGTATTATCTTTCTTGATTCTTCTGCAGATAGTTTACACTATAGGGTTTACATTATACTTTACATTATAGTGCACTGTAATATGAGTAAAGTGCTCGACTGTGTTTATTATCTCATTTATTCTTATCAATAAACTTTATGTAAAAAACCTAGTGTCCAATTGAAATCGAAAAAGTACAATGATGTGTCCGAAATGTAATAAAGTATCTGACTTCATACCAGATAATTACTCCAAACAGCAGAAGGGACTTCACACTATGTGAAGAAAATATCTTTTACCTGAAACTGGTTTTCGAGCTCACTCTCACCTTGCCCTCTCGTCCACCACACACTGCTAAATATACCCAGATTTGTATCCAAAAAAATTCGCGGAAGAGTCAGGGTCCTATTCGCGTAAGAACCGTTCGCAGAAGAATCGGTTCACAGCATCGTCGTTCGCGAAATCATCATCTGATGGATAAAACATTCCTGTGAATTCACAGCTACAAAAAACGGCCCCGTCCTATCTTCTCGTACTTCACAATCCTCATCGATGAACAACAGTTAACAGCGGTCACTGTGATCCTTAAGATTAGGCAGACACGTATGCATAGTGATCATAGGCGATGAGGAAGAGCGACAGGGATTAAATATTTGTTTTTAAAACTTTTATGTGTTCGGGTGTAGAGCTTTTATTCAAAAGTGTTGCGCGTTCCTTTTCATCATTATATGTTCCGTTATCTCAAAAGCAATGCTTATGCACCCGAATAACAGAACGAACAAGGTTTGCTTTTGCAGTATTCGTACGTTTTTCGTGCACAATATATGCTTTTGAGATTACGAAATCTTGATCACTAACTTGTTTTCCAGTAGTTGTCCAGTCTTGATAACAAATAGCTAGACGTGGTTTTTTAGTTTTGTAATAACGTCCTCCATGAAATGCTTCGGCAATATAGCGATCCGTTTCATGAACCATGACAGATGCAAGAAGAAATATTTCACATTTACATTGCTCAGACGGACATTTATGATCTTTCGGTAATTGTTCAACAAGCTCTGTTTTATATTCCTCCGCCACGGAACATTTAGCATCACAAACAGAACAAACGGATGCACACCCAAGACGACGTTTGATTGATAATTTACATTCATTAAAGGCTTCATTTCTTAATTCTTTTATTATTTCTTTATTTTTGATTGAAACTCGTTCCATTTGGCGTAAAATAAGTTTGAAACCAGTTTTAAATCGATCACGATCTAATTGGTAATTTCATACTATTGGGTACACTAAACTTTTTAATTTGATTATAACTCTCAAGCTTTTTAATTTTTCTAATATTCGATTCAATGACATCACTCGCACTAGAAAGACCTTCACATGGATGAGCTTGAACAGTTTTATTTGCTGTGTTAGTTATTTCGAAATATAAGTTGTTTAAATTCAATGTATGTTGACGTAAAACAAGTTGAAATTTATGTTTAATTTCTCTAAGACTTAAGGGTACTCCCCCTGCTATGGTCACGAGTATGGTTAAGTGTAATGTCAAATAAAAAGCAGAAAGAAGCTCTAACCGGTATTAAGGGTTTCCCCTCTTTCTGTAAGAATTTTGGATTTTGAGCTGAGCATAGCCTAATGCACCTTCAATGCCCCTGCCAGTGCTTCACCTCCTCGGTCAGATATTGTGTTGTAGTCAAGATCCAGAGCGGTGAGAGATTTATTCACTTTAAGCAGATGAAGTACTAGCAGAGGAACTAAAAGTGAATAAATATCTCAATACTCCTAATCTTCATGGTAACCAAATATCTGATGAAGGAGGTGAAACACTGCCAGATGCATTGAAAGTCAATAAAACTCTCACAACTCTTAATCTCCGTGGGAAAAGTTTCTGCTCGAGAAAGTGCAGCACTGTCAGAGACATTGAAAGTGAATAAAACTCTCACCACCCTTCATCTTCAAGCTAATCAAATATCTATTCGAGGAGGTGAAGCACCGAAAAAGGCACTGAAAGTGAATAAAACTCTCACCACTCGTGCTCTTAACTACAACGCAGTATCTGATCGAGGAGGTGAAGCACTGGCAGAGGCATTGAAAGTGGATAAAACTCTCACCACACTTCATCTTCATGCTAATCCAATATCTATTCGAGGAGGTGAAGTACTGACAGGGGCATTCAATGTGAATGAAATTCTCAGCACTCTTAATCTTCATGCTAACTAAATATCTGATGAACGAGGTAGAACACTGGCAGAGGCATTGAAAGTGAATAAATCTCTCATCACTTTTGATATTGACTACAACACAATACCGGTTGGAGGAGGTGAAGCACTGGCAGAGGCAGATAAGGCGTCATGATACACAGACGATCACCAAATACATGCTTCACTATTCAAGTCACTCGTATGCATGGCGATGAAGATAAATGAGAAGATACTTGTTGGTTATGACCTTAATGACCTTACATATTTAATCGTTTGATGTGAACTAAAAACTTTTTCTCCACTGGAAAATAGGTGGGTCAAAAATGACCCACCCGTCCTCAAACGGTTATGCGTCGCCCAAATTAGTTTTTAAAGCCTTTCAAAGATTCCTTCTCTGTTCTCGAACAAAAACTGACGCAGAATTTCTAAACCTATATTCAGAAAGAGCATAAAATTCACGTTCTAATCTATAGGTTTCAACTCGTCTGAAATATTTTCAAATGGGTCAAAAATGACCAAACATTTTGTGTGAAAAATTTCGATCCACCTGTTAAATAAATGGTTGATCGACGACTCCGTTTTGGAATATTCTTTCCTTGTTGTCTTCTCAATCATTATTGCTCATTAATACATATCATGTCTCGGAAATACATATTCTGTTAGTACGAATTTTTCTTATTTTCACAAAAAAGAAAAGACAAAAGTCACCTAGATCGTAGGAGGAAGATGGTGAAGGAGATCATGAAGTTCTTGCACATCGGGATGTTGTGGCGGAAATGTACGGTCATAGATATCGGCGGCTTGTTCCCAATGCAATCGAGTTTCCTCAAGCTGACCCCTATTCGCATACACGCGACCAATATTTGTCAAGGTCATTGCAATGTCTGGATGTTGAGAAGGAAGAGATCTCTGTTGAATATGAAGAGCTCGATGATAATATTCCAATGCCTTATCAAACTGCTTCTTGGATTGATAAACAACACCAATATTATTGTAAGATCCACTAAAATCAGGATGAGTAGGATCTAAAGTTTTCAGTTGTATATTGAGAGCCTTTTCGTAAAGAGTCAGTGCTTCATCATGTTTGTTCTGTTCATCGTAGATAATACCAATATTATTGTAGATGAATGCCAGTTTCGGATAGTTTTCATCATGTGCTTGTTGAAAACATAACATAGCATCACGGTATGATTCGAGTGCTCGAGGATAATCACCTGTCATTCGATAAACTTCTCCAATACTATTCAACGTAGTTCCAATCGTAACATAATCTGAAGGCCGAACTTCTCTATTGATTTTTAATGATTCCTGCAAATAGTCCAGACTACAACAATAATCTCCCTGATCAATTAGGGCTACACCAAGAGAATAGTATAAATGTCCCAGTAGAGGATCATCACGAGAAAGTTGTTTCAATAATCGAATATAATATTTTTCTTCTTCATAGGGCTTTCCCATTCGTCCTACGACAAGACCGAGTTCTAAAAGATCCGGTTCTTTCATATATTCTCTTTTCATTCGTTGAACTAATGAATTTAAATCATGATCATTCTCGCCACAGAGTGTCAGTTGAATCGACCATATTCCATTGTTCTCTCGATGAATTTCAATCAGACGAAATATTGACCCAAGCATGAATAGTACTTCGGCTTCGTCGAATTGGCTAAATGAACTGATATCAGCAAATGGTTTCTCAGTCGCCATCTGAGGATCAGCATCAATGATGAATTTAACAGGTTCTGAATCAGCATTCGGAGGTTCATTATCATCCAAATAAATTTGAACATAAGCTGGGTCGAACGTAGTCGAAAGAAAAGAATTCATGGAAATAAATTGACCAGGTGATTTCGAAAGAAGATTCAGTTCATTTTTCGACATCCATTGAAATCGATAGACCCGAATAGGTGAAGTACATCGTTCGCTTGTTAATTGTCGATGTAAATCACCAATCAAAGAACGAAATAAGAATAGAGTTTTAATACTTACTACGCGTAGTGCTTTGTTTAATGTTCGATAGACAAACGAATCACGAGTGTACCAATGAATGGCATTATTGCTCGAATATTCCTTGGAAAATGTTTCGATTTTGGAGAGTTCGGTTGCATTTTCTTGATAGACATCTTTGCAGAACTCGATTAACTCTTGACGATCTTTTTCATCAGATTTCATTCGCAAAAGAATGTCTACGAGAACTTGAGAGAACTCTCCCGAGCGTTGTGCGGTCTAAAGGTCATTTGTGCATGCTGTCACAATACATATATAAGCAGTTAATATAACTAATGTTTGAGATACTTAGTCAAACCACTGTTTCGACCTGCTTTTACCTTTTCTATATGTTTTTGCTTTGAATTAGACACTGAGAGAAAAATATTTTGGTCTATAAATGTTTTGCTTGCCTGCTATTTTGATGCAATAATGTCCTTAAATATGCGGTATTCTACTATTGACAGGAGTATTTACATGATATATTCCAACTTAAAGCTAAGATAAAAATTAAAAAAAATCTTTCGCCTCGATAAATGTTAAGATTGGTGAAATAGGCCTCTTTGATGTTAAATATATCCGTAGGCCATAGTACAGCTTATTCATTATAGATTGACTTCAATTGATATATTAATTGAAAACTAAAGTCCACTTTTTTATTGCATGTCGCGCCGCAAGTAAAAATTCGTTGGAGATCGCGTAACGCATTCGCTATAAGACTCGTGAAATAAGACGCGGTTTCTAGCGACCGCAATTTTCTCGCACTCACAAAAAAGTCAATATTACTCTCGAATATTTTACCCTGATCGCTGTTATTCATGTTTTTCGTCGACTAACAATAAATGAGTCACACTACTCTTACTCTGAACACGGATGAACCGCAATTCCCCCAACTCGCGAACGCGGCTACGCGACACTTGTATTAGTCCCGGTACTGTCCCTCCTTTTTATCCATTTCTGACGTTGATTAATTACTAAAATAGTCGACGTGCGTTGTAACGGGATCACGGAGTGAAAGCTACGTTCGCGCAGCGAAAGAAGCAAGAAAGTCGACTTGGGTGTGATTCAAAAACGCAGAGGTTTACAGCGAGACTCTGCGAGAGATTCTTAGTTCTTAATTTTTAAGAAGTGTAACAAAACTGCGTCGGGAGACTTACAGCGAATTTGAGAAAAAGGCACCGTCGCGCGATTTTAAAACTTAGGCAAACCAGTTATCTTACCGAATCGCGGCGCGACTTCACGATCTGAGCGCGACCAATGTAAGAAAAAGTTGTCACGCCGCCATCGTGAATCACAAGCTTTTGTTAAATAAGAGTTGGTCGCGATCGCGTCGTGACAACATCGACTTTTTTAAGAAGTCGCTGTTGTCATCGTTAATAGCGATCGTGGTACGAATTGCGCGGTTTTACGGCGATCGCGAGCGCGGATCGCGTTCCCGACTTAAACAAGAAAGTGTATGCATAAAGAGTGACTGTTCAAGAATCGATCGTGATCACTCATAATGAGCAGGAACGATCTGATTTTGATAGAAATCCACTAATAACATTCCGATTCATAGTTATCGACATCAAAAAGCGGTTTTGGAGAGTAGCGGTTCAATCACTCTGATGATTTTTATCAAGTCAAAGTAAACGAACTAAAGGACCTCTGAACGTGTGAAAATTTGTCAATAATCATTATCCGCTGACAGTTGTTTCTCAAATATTGCTACCCTTGGGTTCTATCTTTTATCGATCAGAATAACTTCGAATGCAATTCGGAGATTTACCCTAAAGTATCAATCTGCCTCAGTTGATTCGACTACCTGTAGAAACTTGGCATCACAAATAGCCATTAAATGAATACACTGTAACTGCGAGTGATATTGTTCAGACGATACAGACGGTACTCAAATTATGCATAAAAAGTCACTGTTCCTGAATCGATCGTGATCACCCATAATAAGCTGGAACGATCTAATTTTGATAGAAATCAACTAATAATATTCCGATCAAAAGCGGTTTTGGAGAGGGGGCCGATTCGTGATCTTAACGACCCCGGTCCTTTCCTTTTATTGAACTTAGTCAAAAGTCTCATCACAGATAGTTTGTGTACCCATTTGTTTTTACAAATGACATATTGCAATATCTCGTATATGCAATGTATCTATATTTTTTTGAGCATAACTATTTTCGAATTGCCTAAAAATTCAGTAGATTATAGTGCGCCATTTGACGCGAGACTCGAATTTATCAGTTTTAAACTCATTCTTGAAAAAGAAACATATAGTCTTACATTGATGTCTATTGACAATGTGAATCAAGCATTGTTTCTTCTTCCACTAGTAATTAATGTTCCATACAGTAAAAAGCATGAATTTTCTGCGGAGAAACGCCGATTTCTTCAGGAAAATAGATAAAGTTCTTGTGGAGAAATACCGATTTATTCAGGAAAGAAGATGGAGAAACTTTCATCTCTTCAGGGAAGTC